ATTTTTTTTTTAAAAAAAAAAAAATAAAATAAAATAAAATACAATTAACAAACAAATTCAATATAAATAATGAACAAAATAAAAATGATTAAATATAAAAATTCAATAAATTACCATTAAAAAGTCTTTGCCAACACCCGATGCAGAATTATTATTTGAGATATATCGATCAATACCTTGTGAATCTTTCCAGTTAAGTATAAACTTTACCGTCCCATTAGATGAATAATTTGTTTCACAAATAATGTCATACCCTTCTAAAGTTGTTTCAACTTTATAATTATCTGGTATTTCATATTCAGGGCAATTTTTTGATGTTCTCTTTATTTTTTTTACATTGGAAGGATAAATACCTAACGAATGAATAATGTACTTTCTCAAATGAGATTTGCCACCACTTTCATAATAGATGGTAGTAATTATATTGCTATTTGGATAATTATGAATAAAAGTGCGATTTGAATTCTAACAAAAAAAATAAATAAATAAATAAATAAATAAAACACAACAATAAGTAAAACAAATCAAATAAAAAAAATAGCAATATAATAATTTTTTTTATATACTTGTTCCATATTATCCATTATAACTAACTGAATACTTTAAAAATTACCAAATTGGAACGTAATAGCAAGCGAAATTTGTAAAATATTTCAGGTATCGTTAATGTTAACTCAAAATAAAGAAAAATAAGGGTATTATTTATATACTTTAAATGTTTGTACTTTAAAAATTGGTATATTTTAAAACAAAACCAGTTTATATAATATAAGAATGAATAACCAATAAAACGACGATTCCCCGAAGATTCACCACTATATTGTTTTGTTGAGAGAAAATATTTTCTTAGCTCTCCTATTTGGCGATTATCAATATAGATTGTTTTGTTACACAAATTCCATATATATCCCTCAATTTTATCACCTGATTATTACTTAGTGAGTTGAGTCCGATTAGCCCATATGAATACATTTATAATTAAATTTGGTAAAATTACGTCGTAAAACAAAAATTTCTCAATCCAAACGACCCCTTGATTAAAAAATTATCAAAAAAAAAATCTTTCCAAATGAACCCTTAGAAAATTTCTCATCAAAAAAATATTTGAAATGACCCCTCTAGTTAAAAAATTTTTTTAAAAAATCTCTTCAAATGAATCCTTAGAAGATTTATTAAAAAAATCTCAAAAAATCTCCCAAATAAATTCTTAGAAATTTCTTTATTAAAAATAAAATGTCCCAAATGATCCCTTTAGTTAAAAAAATCCCAAAAAATAATTTTCCCAAATGAACTTCTAGAAATTTTCTGTTAAAAAATATCCCAAACAATCCCTTTGGTTAAAAAATTCTTAAAAATAATCTTCTCAAACAAACTCTTAGAAAATTCTCTATCAAAAATGTTTCAAACGATCCCTTGGTTAAAAAATTCTCAAAAATAATCTCCCCAAATGAATCCTTAGAAAATTCTCTATCAAAAAATGCCCTAAACGATCCCCTTAATTAAAAAATTCAAAAAATAATTTTCCTAAACGAACTCTTAGAAAATTCTCTATCAAAAAATGCCCTAAATGATCCTTTTAATTAACAAATTCTCGAAAAACCATTTCTCAAACGAACTCTTAGAAAATTCTCTATCAAAAATGTTCCAAACGTTCCCTTTAGTTAAAAAATTCTCAAAAATNACCATCCAGTATTTTAATTATAAATAAGGCAATTTTATAATTTTTGACTGCATATTCATTTACCAACTTCATTAATAAATATTTTATATCACCTTATAACTATAATAAAAAAGGCAATTTTTTTTCAAGTTTACACATTAATTTGACCAGGTTTAAAATAATTTTGCACAGCAAAATTTGGCCAAAATTATTTGGCCAGAATTATAAAATGGACATAAAGTCTGGTTTGCAAATTTGACCAGAATTATAAAAACAGACATTTATGTACATTTTGTAAATTTGGCCAGCATTATGAATGTAAATATTTTAACTAATCATCCAGTGATCATAAATAAATAAATTATAGCTTGTTAGCTTTATCTTATTAAGATATATTAAATGGTGGTAATGTGGCAATTTCATATTTCTATTAGGCCACACAAATTCAATTTTTCAGTTCACATAACATTGAAATTTAAAATCGATCTGGGGACCCACTGACCCAGGTTTATTGTTTATTAGTAAAAAAAGTTTATATATATAATCGTGACATTTGATTGGTTGACTTTTAGAAGGGAGGAATTTATTTTCACTCTAGAAGTTCTCAGCCGCATGATAAACTTACCCGCCAATAAAATTACATCCTGATCACGTGATAAATTTTTTATATATTAACTTTTTTTTATTGAAATTTGAAAAAGTGATCCGGCTGGGTGAAGTGGACCGAAAATTTGAATTTGTGTGGCCTTATCATTAAATAAAAAGTTATTAGCATTTATAAATATTTAAGAATATAAAAAATTCTTTCAATAAATAATGTTAATATCTTATTATTTATTAATTCTAAAGGTATGAAACTACCACCATTTAAGATATCTCAAAAAATAATCCAACAAGCTATATTTTATCTTTCTGTAATTACTTAATGCCAAGTTAACTTTTAGCATTTTAGTGTATTTAACCAAATAATAGACATTTTTTTTTATTGTATTTTGATATTCAATATATTCAATAAAAAAGATATACTAGATATTATTTTATTATTTATTTGAAATATAAAGATATATAAACATTGTGTTTTATAAATATTATGTAAATTTTGTAAAGAAAATTTACAAAATTTATAATTGATATAATATTACCAATTACTATAATTCATTTTTAATTGTTATAAAATAATCCATTACATATTTATGGAAGTTAACATATATATATCACATTAAGAATTTATAAGGAAGATATATAAATAAACTTATAAATTATATTATATCAATTATTATAATTTATTATTTCAATTACTATAAAGATTTTTTAATATAATTCAACAATTAATTATTCAATTCATTACATAT